TCAACTGACATTGCAACAAAAAGAATCCGCAAGTAAAAACCAAGAACATGTGGGAGGCTCCCTCAAGTCTCCCTCTGTGCACGAGTCAGCTCCAGGGCAGGGAGAGGCGTCACTTTGGGGCCTGCTACTGGGACTGAGAATGGCCTGACCCCCCAACCCCCATACCTGATGGTTCCTGTCGGGGAGGGCAGGGGGCTGATGAGGTGGGCCATGGTGTCTGGAATGTTGATGGTCAGGGGTGAGATGTGTGGCTGCACGGGCTTCACCGGAGACGCAGGCGCCTCCTGCTGCTCCCTCTTCTCACTGGACAGGGCAGTGAACGTGATCTTGATGTTTGTGCTCGGAAACCTGAACGTGCACCTGGGGAGGAAAAGTCCATCGTCAGCACTGTCCGCACGTCCCCACAGGTAAGGACACACCCTCCCCATGTCAAAGCTCAGCTCGCCAAGTCACTTAATGAATAAAACCACAAATAAGATATTTCATGACTTTAGAACATGAGCAAACAAAAACACTATTTAGATCAGCCAAACAGGAAAATAAAAAGTACAAGCTCAAAAAAGACCCAAACACCACTTAATCTGCATTACTACTTTTAAAATAAATGCACAAATACGTTTTAGGTCTGATAGCAGATTTAAAACAAAGACTCGAACCCCACTTAGTGTGCATTATTCCATTCAAAATAAACATACAAATATATCTGGGTCAAGCAACAAACAATTCTGTGGTGGTTTTTTAATTTAAGAAAGAAAAATAGTTTTCTTTCTATTAAAAAAAATCCTATCACCTTCCTCACTGAGCAAACGAGCCAGAGACATTAAATTACAGGGCAAAATGTTCGCAGTTTAACACACCAATTCGCTTTTAATGTACCTTCCTTGACATGACTCGTGCATATTTTTAAAAAGAAAAAACGATAAGAAAAGAAAAAAAAAGTAAGTAGTAGAAACCAAATATTTTCAAATAATTAAATTTAAAAATAGCCCCACAGACTTAGAGTCTCTGGGTCTCAATTCTGCATCCAGTAAAACAACAGTTGATGTGCACGTCTATAAGCCCAAATGACAAGCCCATGATGCTCAGCTCACTTACGCCCGTGCGTCCCTCCCGGGCACCCTGTCGCAGAGGTCATCTCTGCCCACGACCCAGCCTGGGCACCTGCCCGTGGAGGGCAAGAAAGGGCAGTTTTTGGTCGAACGGAAAACGGGGCAGCCACCTGGACAATCAGCTTGGCAGCTCCTCATGAAGAAGCACACATGCATCACAAGAAGCTGCACTCCTGCACGTGCCCTGGAGGAGCGGGAGGTACGTTCACAGAAACCTGCAGGCGATGTTCGCAGTGGGTTTTTCATAACAGCCCAAACTGGAAACCATTCAGACATCCTTCAATGGAAGGCAGTTAGACAAGCCGATTCACACGCCAACAACTTCCATGGGTCTTAAGATCCTTTGCTGAGTGGAAAAAGCCAGTCCCCAAAAGTCACACCCTGTGTGATTCCATTTACACAACACTCTCAAGATGACAAAATCACAGACATGGAGAGCACACAGGTCTTGCCAGGGGCTGAGGGGAGTGAGACACATGGTCCCAAGGGGCACCACCCAGGAGGTCTCTTCATGATGGAACCCTCTATGTCATGATCCTAATAAGCTCTACATGCATCTGTTCATGGGACAACATACCAAAAAAAGAGAACATATGCAAAGAATCGTGGGGAAAACTGTAGAGTCTCTAGCCAACCCACATACCAAAAAAAGAGAACATATGCAAAGAATCGTGGGGAAAACTGTAGAGTCTCTAGCCAACACACCTCCACCTCGATCTCCACCTCGATCTCCACCTGGGCTGGGGTTCTTGGCAGGAGATTCTGCCCCAGCAACACCGGGCAATGTCTAGAGACAGACTGGCCATCATGACTTGGGGGAGGCCAGGCACGGACACAGCTAGCACCCCACAGTGCAGTGCACAGGATGGTCCAGCCACATAGAATGATCTGCACAACACCTGAAGGCCTGGACATGCCCCTCACCTGTCACTGGCCTCTCAGGACACCCCCATGGCCAAGCCTCCTCTTGGGTTCCCACCCTAGAGTCTGTCTGCACAGGGCAGCCAGGGTGAATCTCTAAAACTTCCCAGGGTATATGATTCAAAGATACAAAAGGGCCCAGGGGAAAAAACCAGCCTCTGTTCCTCCCGCCTGCTGGCACAGCCTTTTCCCTTTATGGGGTCCCTTGGTGCGTCCCTCCTCTGCTCCCAACTCCCCAGCAGTCACCGTCCTCCCATGTCCTGGGGGCCTAGCACCCTGCCTCACACCTCCATCCCCTCCTTCATTCGCTCTCTCACCTTACCTGCTCTCCCAGGGACTCCCTGACTGCCAGCCTTGTCCTTTTCACTGTGGCCATGTGGCTTGTCACCCTGGCATTCACTTGTGTGTTTATTTCTTTAGGTGGGGTGGGCTGTCCCCCTAAGGGGATATAAGCTCCACCAGAACAAAGTCCTGGCCTGAACAGTTCCCTGCTGCAATCCAGAGGCTAGAAGATTCCCTGACATATACGCAGGAAGCACTCAGTACATATTTGTTTAATAAAAAGTGCCCAATTTCATATATTAAAAAGGTAGCACTAGATTTGAAGAACCACCACGGGCCTGGAAAAGAGGGTGATTAAAACCTCATTGATCACATACCAATCTGACAACTGTGGCAGATAGGATAAATTTTCTTCCTTTTTCCTTTGTATGCAGAAGACAGTTTAGGGCCATCCAATGTGATGTGCCCACAAAAATGTTTGCTCAACTCAATAATGTTTGCTCCTGAACAAGTTCCCATGCTCAGAGGAAGCATGGCTGTTCCTGAGATGGCAGCACAGAGCTGGCACTCAGGGTGGATGCACCACGGCCCCCGCACCCTCTACCTTCCTGGGCTTGAAGATGACGGACTGCAGCCACTGACCCTTCTGTGTGGAACAAGGGTCTACTTTACATCCTCGCAAATCAATAACTGAATCAACTGAGACCAGGAGAGAAACATGGACCTTCACCAGTGACATGGGGATGCCAGAGTGCTGCAAACCGTGCCACAGACAACGCTGCTGCAATCCTCAAATGAAACCCGTGCGTCATACTGGGAGCCGCACCACTGAAACCACGCCAGTTCAAAAGCGCCATATCCTTGAAGCCCGTCAAGAGCAAAAGACCAGAAACACGTCCTAAGTGGCATTCCCTGCTGGTTTTGTACGTTCCAATTTCAAATGCTCACTTATCACTATATTTTGGAAAAAACTGATTGTCTATCAGGTGTTTCAGATCCTACTGAACCTGACTCCCCAGATTTGCAGGAAAGTTACTTCCAGATTCCATTCACTGCACCAAGGAACAATGGTCGATGTGGATGTGGGAGCCTTTGCCTCTGAGGACAACAGGAAGCCTGGCCTGACACACGGTGCCACCAGGCTCTGCAAGGGGCCGCAGGACTCCCGCCACCATCCCCTGGTCCCCCTCACTGCTAATGAGCAGCCCGTCCCCCTGAGGACACTCACGGACCCACCCAAGCACAGTTAATACCGACTTCTCATGCCAGCTTGACAGTGAGGAACCCCGGGGTCTTCACTTGCTGAAACCACACGGACCTGGGGCATCGCTCTAGGCCAAGGCAGCTCTGCCCTCCTCGCTGGGCTCCTCACACAGTGAGGGGGATGGGCCAGGAGCCCTGAGCTGACAGCTGTGTGGCCCTGTGGGCGCTAGCCAGAAGGAAGGACAACAGAGTGGAAATGTGCTGGAAAACTGCATTGGTCAATATTGACACTAAAATACTCATTAAATCAAATCAAATATTGTATTGCTTTATCTGCCACACAAGTGAAGAGCCATGCAAAGTATGGACAAAAATGAAAGTAAAGAATAAAAGAAACCAAGGGACTGGGAGCTAAGATCGTCTGTAATGCCCTTGGCCGTGATTTTTTTTAACCAAATACAAGCAGTTTGGAACCGAATGCTCATCAGATTTGAATTGAAGCAGTAACTGTTAGAGGAACAACTATCAGAAAACCACCAGTTCATCCTCCTCCACAACCACCACGACCATCCCAGCCTTCACTACCTAAATCGCACTTCCATCACCATCACCTCCACCACTAAAATTTCCACCACCATCAATTCTATCAGCTCCACCTCATTTAGTTCAAAACAGAAAACTAAGGCCAGGACATATTAAAAAACAGGTGAATTAGAGACAGTCAAGAGAGTTTCACAAGTGGTCATCTTTGCATTTGACCCTGATGGAGTTTGGATGCATTGTCCCCTCCAAAAGTCATGTGGAAATTTGATCCCCAATGGGGCAGTGTTGGAAACTGATTGAGTCATGGGGGCGGATCCCTCATGCGTGGATTCATGCTCTCCCTGGGGGAAGGGGGATTAATGAGTGAGTTCTCGCTCTATTAGTTCCCGCGAGAGCTTGTTGCTTAACAAGACCCTGGCACCTTCTCTCTCTCTCACTTCCTCTCTCTTGCTTCCTCTCACCATGTGATCGATCTTCTTGCACCCGCCGGCTGCCTGCCACTTTCCGCCATGAGTAGAAGC